CAGGGCTTGGCAGAGGGGTTATATAACGAATATGCGGGTACGAGCATAAACGTTCGCGCCCGCAATAATTATGCCTCGTGGTGTAGTGATAAAGGCTCTGGAATTATTCCTCCGAGTAAGCGTGTTCCCGGTGCTGCTGTGTTCTGGTCTGATGGTTCTGCTTCTGTTATCCATCATGTAGCATATCTGGTTGAACCAGTTGTAGCTGGAAAGCCCGAAGGGGATTGGTATTTGATCGAGGCGAGAGGCGTTATGTATGGCGTTGTGCGTACACAGCTTTTGAGCAGGAAGCCCAACTTCTGGGGGCTTATGGATAAGTATTTCAGCTATGATGGTACTGCGGACGAGCCTGTTATTCCTGAAACTGGTGGCCTTACGGTCGCTTCTGGAAGCTGGAACATTCGAGCTAAACCTTCTGCATCTTCTGAATCCATCGGTACTGTAAAAGGTGGAGAAAAGCTGGAAAAAGTAGAAACTGACTGGATTCCCGTAGTGTTCAATGGTGAAATCGGATGGATTAGTCCCAAAGGTGTGAAGGAGGAAGGAAACGATGTGGGATAAAGTTACAAAAGGAATATGCGCAGCTCTCGGAGCTGTTGCAGGATGTTTAGGAGTGATACTCACGCCTATGTTTAATGTGCTTGCCATCGTAATGGCTATTGACTGGATAACAGGAGTTGTTATTGCGGCGTTGGGTATGTCGCCTAAGACTGAGAGCGGTGGTCTTTCATCTAAAGCTGGTTTTGTTGGTCTCGCAAAAAAGGGTTTTATCATTGTGATTGTTTTTGTTGCAACGATGCTTGACAAAGCGATTGGTAATACGACGATGGTGTTCCAAAGCATGGCAACTATGTATTACATTGCCAATGAGGGAATTTCCATTCTTGAAAATGCGTCTGTTCTTGGCGTTCCGTTCCCTGAGAAGATCAAGGAAGCGCTCGAAGATATGAAGCAAAAGAGCAACAAGGAGAAGAAAGATGAGTGAACCGCTGGCTTTGGAAGCGTATGTTTCCGAACAGGTTTTGAAGCCTGATGAACGTGAGCTTGTAGAAAAAGCATACAGCAGATTGCGTATATGGCGCGATGGTTGCCGCGAAATCCACGAAAGGGCAAGGGAAGCGAGAAAGATTCTACTTTTGCAAGACCCGTATCAAGACCCTCCCGGGTGCCCGCCCGAACAGAAAACCGTACAGCTCCAAACGCTCAAAAGCACGTTCAACAACTGTGTGGCTGACCAGATGGACAATGTGATGGAAGCGGTCATGACTGCTGAACGCCCGGAGCTGCAAGAAGTGACGGACGATATAAATGATATTGTCCGTTTCGTGTACGACTGCAATGATTATCAGGCAATGCACAGGATGCGCATTCAGGACTATCTTTGCACGGGTACAGCCGTCACGCAGATCATGTGGGATGACAGCGCCATGGGTGGAACGGGTGATGTATCCCTTGTACGTGTTCCCATCGAAAGTTTTCTGTGGGATCCCGCTGAGGCTGATATTCAGAATGCGCGCGCCATTTTCAAAGTAACGTGGCACCCGCTTTCGTGGTTCCGGTGCCATTACAAGAATGGCAAGTATGTTCAGGCTGATGAGCATACGGATATTGCCGTTGGTCAGAACGAGAATCAGGAAGAACACGCTGCAGATGAAGAAAAGGCAATGCTCGTTGAGTATTGGTATCGGGAGTATTCCGAAGCTCGTGATAAGTACACGATCAACGTTGCTTATATCGCTGGTGGTGCGCTTCTTGAAAAGTATGAGGATGTATACGCTCATGGTATGTATCCTTTTGTACTGGATGTGTTCACGGAGATCGAGGGCTTACCTGTTGGCGAGGGGCTTGTAATGGAGCTTGCGCCTATGATGCGCTATGTGAACAGGTATGCGCACTATATTGATGTGAACGCCCGTATGAGCGCTAAGACGAGAATGCTCACAAGGAAAACCGCTGGTCTGAATCTGGATGCGCTTGAAGATTGGAACAGTAATATTATCGAAGGTGACGCTATCGGCGAGGACGCTGTAAGATTCATGCAGCCTCCCGCTTTGAGCGCTCTTGTTACGAACATGATGTTCCAGATGCAGACGGATATTAAACAGGACAGCGGTCAGAATCAGTTTGCGCGTGGTGAAACTGCTGGCGGCGTTACTGCCGCTTCCGCTATTGCATCCTTGCAGGAAGCTGGCGGCAAACAGACACGCATGAGAACGGAAACGCTGAAACGAGGGTTCAGGCGCATCACGGAACAGGTATTGTGGCTTATCAGCGAGTTCTACGATGAAGAACGTGTAGCGCTTATCACCGGGAAAACCGGAATTCAGAGGAAAGTTGATATGTCTCCTTCCCGAATCATGGGAAGAAAGAAGGGGAACGCGATCCCACGCCCGCCGTATGTTGTGCGCATTGAAGTTCAGCGCTTGAACCCTGCTGTTGTAAGCACGCAGAATCAGCTTTTCATTGATGCTTATAAGATGAGCGCAGAGAGCGGAAATGTGTTCCCGCTATCGGCGCTTTTCAGAATGCTCAATATCGATGGAAAGGACAAGCTGCTTCCGGTCATTGATGCGGTCGAACAGCAGACGCAAATGATGCAGCAGTTGTCCTCTGAAAACCAGCAGTTGAACAATACGGTTCAGCAGCAGCAACAGGCCATTGAAGGTATGCGTTCTCTGATTCAGAAGAACGCCATTTCTTCAATGAATACTTCGAGCCAAGGCGCTTCTGCCAATAGGCAGAGCGCTTTAGGATAAAAATTGAAAGGAGAGCCGCAAACGTATGTTTGAGGACAATACCACGGGCGCTGTAGCCACGGAGAGTAGCGCGGTAGCCGCCGTACCGCAGGACGCTCCGACTGTCACCGAAGCCGAAAGTGTGAACGATCAGCTTTCGTCTTTGGAAGAATTCCTTTCCAATGGAAATGAAATGGAAGATGAGGAAGAAGCTACTACCGAAAGTGGCGAACCGAATTCCGTTCATATGCCGATGGATGGAAGCGAACCTGACGAATTCGCAAACAAAGGTATCAGAGGGAGGATTCTTGCAGCAGAGCAGAAAGCAGACGCGCGTGGCTATGAGCGTGGCCTTGCAGAAGCCAAGAAGCAGTATGAATCCGAACGCGCGAAGTATGAAACGCGCATCCGGGAATTCGAGGAAAAGCAGATTGAGTATGACGCGAAGGAGCTATCCGAAAAGGAAGGATGCTCCCTTGAATTCGCAAAGAGAATGCTTCGACTTGAAAGAAATGTCCCGGAGCAGAAACAGCCTGAACAACCGAGAGACGAGGCTGGGCGTTTCGCTGCCGCTACTAATGATTCCGAAAAACGCGCGAACTTCCTTATGAAGCAGGGACAGGAAATGCAGAACACTTACGGCGTTGATGTGTTTACTGAATTCAAGCGGAACGAGGAAGTGAAACGCAAAGTTGCTTCTGGTGAATGGGATTTCAAGGATGTGGCACTTTCTATGATTCAGGCGAATTCCACTCCAAAGAAGCAGACCCCGCGACCTGTTTCGAGCACCAATTCCACCCGTAACGGTCAAGTGTTGTCGTTTGAAACGATGACAGATGAACAATTCGATGAATTCAACAGACGTTTGGATAGCGGTCAGGTATACCGCATCCGCTAATTGAAAGGAGAAAAACACACCATGGCAGTTTTTGACAATCTTCAGGGCACTTATTCCGCTGGTCTCGCTCCCGAAATCACTCAGTATTACAACAAGACCCTTCTGCGCGAATTCCAGTCCAGCCTTGTGCATACCAAGGACCTGCAGAAGCGTCCCCTTCCCCTCAACAACGGTAAGACCGTCAACTTCCGCAAGTTCATGCCCTTCGCTCCCATCACCGAACCCCTCAAAGAGGGCATCACTCCCGCTGGTCAGACCCTGAATATGTCTGAAATCCATGCGACTGTGAAGCCCTACGGCGGTCACGTTGAAGTAACCGATGAGCTGAACCTTACTTCCATCGACAATATCCACAAGGAAACCGCTTCTCTGCTCGCCCGTCAGGCTGCTGAGACCATTGACAAGCTGGCTGCTGATGCGCTGAATAGCGGCCTCAACGTTCTGTACGTTGACGCTGAGAACGGCACTAACACTTCCCGTTCCGACATTACCGCTGCCGATGTGCTTACTGGTACTGCTATCAAGCGTGCCGTCCGTGCGCTGGAAAAGGCGAATGCGCAGCGCTTCCCTGATGGCTACTATCATGCTATCGTTGACCCCGAGACCAAGTACGATCTCACCAACGATCCCCTGTGGATTGATGTTGCGAAGTACCAGCAGGCGGGCAAGGTCGAGAAGTACGAACTCGGTAAGCTGCTCGGCGTGAAGTTCTACGAGACCACCCAGACCAAGACTTTCACTTCCGATCAGGTGCTTTACACCGATGCTGGTGTTGGCGTGACCAACCTTGCGCTGAATGGAGGCGCGTGGTCTGTCACTAACAAGACTGGCTATTTCACCGTCGCCAAGACCACCGCTTACGCTAACGGTACCGACAACGATTACGCTTATTGGTGCCGCCGCATGGTAGGCAAGATGGTTCGCGTTTATGACGCGTCCGCGACTTCCTATATCAATGCGCTCATCGATCAGGCGTTTGTTGATGGCACTAACCTGAAATGCACTCTCCGCTATCTGGACACCGCTACCGATTGGGCGTATGCTGCTGGCGATAAGGTGTATTCTCAGGCTGGCGGCGCTTCCAATTACGAAGTGCATTCCACCATCATTTACGGTCAGGACTATGCTGGCTCTATCGAACTCGGCGGCAACGGCGGCAATGTTCAGACCATCATCAAGGAGCCCGGTTCTTCCGGTGCTGCTGATCCCCTCAACCAGCGCGGCTCTATCGCGTGGAAGGTCAACGGTATGTGCGTAACCATCCTGCAGGATGCGTATTGCGTGCGCGTTGAACACGGCGTATCTGCCTAATCATCACGACAATGGGAGCGAGTATATCTCGCTCCCTCTTTTTATGGAGGTAAATCATGGCTAATGTAAAGCAGTCCAAGGAAGAAATCATGAACGAACTCATGGGAACCGATACTGATAAGAACATTGAGGAAGTGCGCAATGGCGCTGAAATCTCTATCATGCTTCCTCTCCCGCCCGAAGCATCCTCTGAAATTGAAAAGTTTGAAGTAATCATTATCAACGGTAAAGCCACGCAGATTCGCCTCGGCGAGCCTGTAGCTGTTTCGTGGCCTGTGTACGAAGCCCTCAAAAACGGGCGCTATCACGATGTAAACATCCTTATCTAAGGTGAAGGGAGCGGGCTGATATGACGTTTGATGCTATCAGAAACCTTGTATTATTTCAGACGAACAATGATATTATCGACCTGCCAGACTATCAGCCCGCTATTGAGGGGTATATCAACGAAGGATATGACATTTTAGCGTATGAATATGATGGTCTGCATCTGGACGAAGTAAGAAGCGGCGAAACTGTTGCGGCGTATCCTACCATGGAAGCAACGAACGATGAACCGAATATTCCTGAATGGATGCATTCTGCGATTGCTGATTATGCCACGTACATGATGTACAGGAACGGAAACGCGATCAAGCAGAACAGAGGCATTCCGTACTATCAGAAATTCCTTGAAGTTAAATCGAAAGCCGCATTCGCAAACAGAAATAAGAAGCGCAAGCTGAAAAATCTGTATGTGGAGGCGTTCTATTGATGGCTAATTCTTATGAGAACATAACTGGAATTGACTCTTTTGCGGGAATCAACCAGTCGAACGATACAAATATAAAACTACAGTACGCTATTGACGGAAAGAATTTTTTGACGAACAACGGCGTATTGCAATCTGTTCCGCAGGATGAAATTGTTTATTCAACTGCGAACCATCGTGTGAATGATGAACCTTCCGCTATCTTTGAGTACGGAAACGAAGAACTCACTCTCATGTTTTTAAATCAGAGATGGAAGAATGGTGTATCCGGTGTGGTGGAAGCGGATACTGAATGGACGATTGCAGTCTATAATAATACGCTCCACTACAGGAAATGGGTTCGCGGGAATCAGAGTGTTCCGTTTTATGAGAGTGCATGGGGGAATCAGCTTGTAGATGACACGAATCATCCTTTGAGCTTTTCGCGGAACAAATTTGACTATGTATCCTACGAAATCAACTACGCGCCTGAAATCCCGTTTTCTACGCTCGTAACTACGCAGATCATGAGCGGCGCGACATACTACACATTTGATATTGATGATTACGCATATCATCTGCTGCGTGCTCGTGTCAATGACGATAATTATGTTGAATCGTATTACGTGAGAAATGACGGCATGGAAGTCATAATGAGCGCATCCGAAGGTTCAACGGTACGTATGGGATATGACGCTCCTGTTGACGCGCTCATTATGACAAATACGGTCGATGGTATGTACATTATATACTTCCCGCTTGACGGCGAAGATCATCCGTATGTACGGCATATCGAAGTTATTGATAATATCAAGTTCGGATGCATCGAGCGATACAATGAGCGTATCTTCGGAAGCGGAATTACAAGCGACCCGGACAAACTGGTTTATTCCGCTCCAAATGACCCTTTCAATTGGCAGCAGAATAATACAATACCGGAGGACGGCGCAGGTGATATTCAGGTGCCAGAATGGGACGGTGACGGATTCACAGCGCTGAAAACGTTTGGCAGTCAGCTTATCTGCATCAAGAAGCACTCTATCTGGCGTTTGATCGGCACGAATCCTTCACAGTATAATATTACGAAGGAGTACGGCGAAGGTACAATTGCAGACGCTTCTGTTGCTGTGTACGGCGCATATCTGTATTTCCTTTCCAGCGAAGGTATCATGTATTATGATGGAGCCATTTCCAGACCGCTTAAATATGGCTTCATCTCAAAGAGTGATACATCGTTTGAATATAGCAATAAACGTGTTTTCGGTATCATGTGCGGAGATCGCTATTGCCTAAACATTGGCGATAAAATGTGGATTTACAATATCCCTGAAAGCACGTTCAATGTTTTGCACACAATCAAGCCTGATGGCGGTACGATACATGCATTCGCACAGCTTGAAAACAAACTTTACTTCCTCGGCGTTGAAAACTACACGCATATTTGTCTTAAAAAGCAATCGTTTGAGAACTATTCCTTCGGCGCAGGAACCACGGCGAGAGATTTTGAATGGGTGAGCGCATATCAGGACTTTGGAGCAAAGAACATAACGAAATCGGAATTTGAAGTGTATCTTTGCGTTAACCGTGATATGAGCATTACTGTTTCCATGGCGACTGAAAAGAAAGTCAAGAGCAAGACTGTTCAGATGATCGCGGGCAGAGCAAGAAGAATCAGGCTCAACAACAACGGCAAGCGCTTCCAGCTTCGCATTCAAGCATCGAAAAGCGGTGAAGTCGGTTCGACTGTTCCCGGCGCATGGAAGCTAATTGGCGGTATTCAAGTTTATCAGTCTTTCGACTACGATTGAGGTGATAAAGCATGAAACAGTTTGTTATGCCGAAGAAGCCAAGCGGATGGAACAATTCAGAACATACGTTCTGGCTTCAACTGCGTGAAGCGCTGGACGCACTTGCGAAGGAAGTTGATACAAGCGACCTGAGCAAAGAGCTTATGGGCAAAATCAGTCAAAATTATGTTTCTGCGTATGATTCGCTGCCCGAAGCTACAAGCGATTTTAGGGGCAAATTTGGGCTTGTGAGCGAGGGCGGCACGGATTCTCTTTATGTGTGCGTGAAAAAGGATGATGGGTATGCGTGGAAGCGCGTGACGCTTACTGATGTTTCGCCCGATACGCCGACTGGCGACACGGTTTTCTTCGATGGCGGGTTTGTGGATGGTATTGTGTGGGTAGGCAATATCTATCCGCGCGTGAACTATTACAGCATAGCGCGTTACAATTTGAGCTATGCGACAAGCGATGGCTATATGCTTCTGTATGTGGAGAGCTCGACAGGTAATGTTGTTTCCTATAACTGCCACTTTGCGACACAGGGCATGGTTACTGTTCCTTCCGGTGCTGCGAGTATCAAAGTAGACGCTAACTGGAAAACGAATGCCATGCAGATGGCGGTCGGCTTGCTTCCGGAAAACGCTCCTGATTCCGTTTCAGTAGTAAATGGCGGTTTCATGAGCGGCTACTTTGAAACGACCGGAAACAGGCAAACGTATACCATCCCAATTCCAGAAGCCCTAAGGGGCAGAACGGACTTGCGCATTGTAATCAACGGCAGAGGAAACAGCGGAAAGAACAGCGAGAGACGAAACTTACAGATTCACAAAGTGTGGTTTGAGTAAAGGAGTTGAACGATATGGCGGGAATGACTTTGGCAGAGCTTCAGGAACAGTTGGCTGGCCTTGAACCTTATCAGAGAAAGACCGATGATGAATTGCGGGCACAGGCTGAGAGCATCTATAATCCGATGTATGAGCGAAGCCTTGTAGACTTGCAGAAGAACATTGAACAGAACGTTGCAGCGCAGAATAGAAGTGCGCTTGACAGCGGTATGCAGCGCTCGTCCTACAATGCAGCGCAACAGGCTATGATTCGCTCCAAGGGTCTGGACACGCGAGCTGACATTGACGCGCAGTATGCGGGAAATGTGGCAAACACGCTGCTCAATCTGATTCAGGGCGAAGATCAGAAGCAACAGGCAGCGGACAACAACCGAAATCAGTTGCTTATGGCGCTTTATGAGTACGGCAAGAAGGGCAGCGGAAGCGGAAGCGGAAATGGAACGCCTAATAATCAGGATGATACCAAAAACAAAAATCCGTTTGATTTGAGTAGCGCTATGCGGTTTTCAGATATTTTTGCTAATGTTAAGAGAAGTGTGGAGAATGCTTTGAAAATGCAAGAAAATCCTAAAACCGACGAAACGAAATATACGTTAGCAGGTTATAAAAAAGATTTTTTGAATAGACAGAAACTATTCGGAGAATAAGCGTCTTTCGATGCGCTTTGTCTAACGACAAATTGAACGAAGAAGGAGAAGATTCATGGAGAACATGGCGAAAATTCCTCTTGCAGATAAATTAAAGGCACAGACAGTTTTTGAAAAACTGCCTAATGTTCCTCGTGAAAAAAAGGAGATCAACAAACCTTACACAAATTCATACAACTTCAATAGAAACTTCATGAATCAGTGGACAAACGCTGCCTCCAATGGCGGCGTTTATCCTTCGTTCAGTGATTCCATGCGCTATATGTACAACTTGCAGATGTATGATAAGGCGAACGGAACGAGCCACGCTAATGAGTTCGGAAGTATTCTTGCATCAAATATGCGAAATCCGAACAATAGTATGTACAATCCGTATTATGTGGGCGGTACTAACAATACCATCCGCGATAATCTTGCTTCGCTCGGCTTTGAAGTGCCTGAAAACATTACCAAAGACTATATCGATGCGCTTGATAAGTACGTTGATTATAGCGCTGTATCTTACGGCATCAACAATGCGCCCAACGGAACCGGAAATGCTAATCAGAAGTTGGCGTATAATATCTATCAGCTCCGCAAGGATGAAGCCGATACGGTGAAAGCGGAAGAAGAACTATCCAGCTTGCAGAACTATATTAAACTGTGGGTGAAGCAGGGCTATTCCGACAACGATATTCGCAATAAGGCCGCTATGCTCGTTGGAAATGATAGCGGTTTCTCCACTCTTAAAAAGATGGACGAAAACCTTGCGAACAGAACGCCCGTTTCTCTGAATCGTTCTGTAAAATACAGCGCTGACAGTATCAATGGCTTTATCTGGAACGCTCGTAATAACGCAAATGACGTGAATCTTGATTCTGCCATCATGAATTATTCTGTTGGATATGGCAATATTTACCATATGAACTCCAAGAGTGAAGCTGCTCTTGATCCCACCAACAGGGAAACGTATAACCCGTATGGGCACGGATACGCTGTAGGTTCTGCGGCAAATCTCGCTGTAAAGTATGGTGTTGATAAGTTCGATAGAAAGTGGCTTGAAACGAATTCCAGCCTTTTGAAAGGCACAGACAAACAGCGCAATGATTATCTCAACGCGCAGACTTATGTGGAAATGTCCGAACAGGCAGAGGCAGAGCTTACCAAGCTGAAAGAGTGGGCGAAGGACAGAATTTCCAAAGGCGCTGACCCGGACAACGTTTACAATGAGCTTATCAGCTATGAGTATGACCCGTTCACGCAAAAGTATTCCGAGAAGTCCAAGCTGGATACGGAATATCCCACGCTTGCTAAGATGGAAAAAGCCCGTTCCATTGGCGATTATGAGGATATGGCGTATGGCGTAGATTTCGCCGTTCCGTATTTCAAGCAGTATCTGCAGGACCTTGCGAACGGTATTGCCGAAGAAGATGAGAAGGAAGAAAAAAAAGATTTCTGCTCCTTCTGACAAGCGTTCTGAAATTCCAGCAAAAGAATCTGCTCCTTCTGCCAAAGAGCCTGTAAGACCGTATTTTGAGGGCGTTGATGTAATTTCTTCTGCTGATGCTGGATACGGTGAAAGCTCTGGTGGCATGAGCTCTGGAAGTTCTGGAAGTAGAAGTTCCGGAAGCTATGCAAGAGGAAACAGCGGAGCAACCATTGCAGACGAACCCTATTTCTCTATCCCTCAGTATGAGAAGATGGGCGTGAAAGACAAGGCTGGTTTTGTTGATGATGTGATGGCGTTGCTGAATGGCAGGAACACCGAAGATGTATCCGAAGAAGCAAGGAACTTCTATGAGAAGTATGGCGTTCTTTTTGAGGGCGAACGTAGCTATACCGCAACCGATTACGGAACAAAAGCCGAAATTACTTATGATGCTCGTAAAGAGGATACGGTAAAAAATACTTATATCGGCGGCGAGTATATTTCTGGCACGAAATTGAAGGAAGATTACATTGGCGATACCATGTATTCCGCGCTTTCGACTGCCGAGGATGCGCTTTCCGATGGCAAAAATGTCCATGCGCGATTTCGTTAATTATTCCGTGTTCTTCGCCGGGATCATCGAAGCGGCGAACGCTGATGGAATCCCCGTTGAGGATTATGTCAAGAACAATCCTTATGCGCTGAATCAGATCAGCGGCGTGTATTATACAATCAGTCAGAATGAAAAAGTCCTTGCGCAGGAGAAGGAAGAACAGAGAAACGCAACGCAAGCGATGCTTGATGACGCTGCAAAGATGGTCATGCTCAATGGAGATATTAAAGATACTCCGGAAGTTCTCAAACTCGCCTTGTTTACCGATGTGAAGGACAGGTACAAGTATGAGTACACGCCGAACTCTGACGATTATCTGAATGGATTCAATGAAGTTTTCGGCGATGACTACAAGGAGCTGTATTCTGATAACGCTGGTTCGAGCGTGACCAATGCTGTACAGTTCTATACGCAGGAGCGTTTGCGCAAAGCAGCGATCAATGACGGCTATATTGCCCAGTCTCTTGGTTTCAGAAGCCTTACCGACTATTATGAGGCATATCCGGAAGCAAAAGAAAAATATAATGCAGAAAACGTAAGAACCATCAAGCGAGAATATGACAGGGCGGCAAATAATATCCGTTCGAGCTTTTCCATGTTGGCAATGGCAAGCGGAGAAGATGTCAATTACGCCAATATGCTTGAAGGATACGATGAAAAGGCCGCTGCAAAATACGATAAAGCCATTCGCGGAATCGGAGGCGAGGAAGCGCCCGAACGCATTGACGATAAGGGCTATGCCTATGCTTTCGTGAAAAGCCTTGAAATGGCTGGCATCAATCTGGCTGACAACATTCTTAGCCCGCTTGATTTCTTTGTGTTTGAACGTGATGACGCAGGACGCGAGCGCGATTTGAGAAACACTTTCTCCACGCGTAACGAGGCAAGGAACTATATCGAATACGCTATCAGTCAGATACCCGATGAAGCGGTTCGCAATGCAGAAATTGAGAAATTCAATTCGTATCAGGGCGATATTTATGACTATAATTATCGTATCCGTGGAGAAAGCGTTGCAAATTGGCGTATCTCCCTTGCCGAGAACAGTCGTATCGTTGCAGAAGAACTTGCAACTCATCTTTCCGAGGAAGAAGAAGCGTTTGCATACAATGCCGCCAATGTAGAAACGAACATTGGTATGATGATCGAAAACGCCGCTCTTGTTGGCCTGTCTGGCGGTAGTGGCATTGCTGGCATTGCTGGCGCATCCGCTATCTACGGTCTCCCCGAAGGTGCAGACCTTGGCAGACGCATCTATGAGAAAACGGGAGACCTTGATTCTGCGCAGGTGTTTGGTCTTGGCGCGAGTGTTACAATTGGTACGCTCGAAAGCATTACGGATGCTATGTTTACTGGCATCGGTAAATGGCTTGATATTCCCACGTTCAAGATTTCCAATGCGTACATTGAGAAGATGGTGTCCAGCGTTGCGGCAAAGTTCCCGAATCGTATTCCCGGCATCCTGAACCGTGCATTCAAGATCACGAATTCGCTTACTTCGCTTGCGGGTGAATCTATCACGGAAGGTTTGCAGGAAGCAATTGAGTATGCGGCGCTTGAAACGATTTATTACGCCGCGACTGGTGAGAGCGAATTCGACATAAACGTTCTCAAAGAAAACGCTGTGGGCGGCGTTGAAATGGCTCCCTTCCTGAAACTATTCGGCTCCGGAATCGACTATGTAGGCAAGATGTTGAGCGGAAATACGAAAAAGGCCGCTGGAAATGTTGCAGCCATGAAGGTTGCGGCGCAGGAAAGCGCGAAGGAAGCGGCTGAACAGCTTTATGAGGAAAGCAAGAAAGCTGATATTGAAAAGCTGTCCGCTCAGAAGATGGCTGAAAGTGTGTCCGAAATCGAGAACAGCGCAGAGAAACAGGCTGTGGAGGAAGCAAAGGCGGCGTTTGAAGCTGCTGATGCGGACTATAATAGCAAGGTAGCGGCACAGGAAGAAGCGAAAAATACCGTTGCAGAGCTTGCACAGCAGCAGCAGGAAGCGGGAACGGAAGATGTTGTATCCGCGAGTGAAGCGCTTGCTAAAGCCACGGAGAAGATGAACGAAGTGAATGCTGCGGCTGATAAAGCGCTCGAAGCCCGTAACGCTGCCGAAAGTGTGTACAAGACTGCGGATAAAGTTCTTTCAGATTTCAAAGAAAGATTCGTTCAGAGCAAACGCGCGGAGGCAGAAGCAGAGATCAACGCGAACGAGGAAGCCATGCGTGCCCGTGCGAACGAAGAAGCACAGGCGAAGTATGCTGAACGCTTGGACAAAGTAGCTACGGAATATGCTAAAAAGCTGGCTGGCGAAGATGCTACTTCCATCGATGTGGACAATATGCGCAAGAGCATTGAGAAGAAGGCCGACAAGATCATTCAGAAGGTCGAAGGCAAAATGCAAGCCCTCAAAGGAAACGTTGAGCAGATGCTTCCCGGGTGGAAGGTTGTGTATGATGACACGCTGAAAAGTGCGGACGGCTATATGGATCCCCGCACTCAACAGATTGTTTTGAAGGGAAACAACGGCAAGCTCAGTCTCAATTCTCTTAAAAACGTTGTTGTCCATGAGCTCGTCCATGTGCTCAAAAGCGTTAATCAGTCGGCATATGATGCGTTTGAAAAGACGATTCTTGATGCGCAGTACAAGGGCAATGCTGATACTCTCGCTGCCGATATTCGCGCGAAAATTGAGAACTACAAGACGATTTCCAATGGAAAAGTCACGCTTGATGAGAATACCGCCCGTGAAGAAGTTGTTGCCGAGCTTGCACAGCAGAACCTTTTCGGAAAGGATATTCTCGCGCTCAACCGTTTAGTACTCTGCGTTGATACCACTGCTTA